AAGACTGCTTCCTGCTGCCCAAGATCGACCGCCTAGTGGACGCGACCTCAGGGCATGAGTTACTGAGCTTCCTGGATGCCTATTCCAGTTACAACCATATTAGGATGGACCCCGCCGATGAAGAAAAAACTACCTTTATAACTGAGCTCGGGTTGTATTGCTACAAGGTTATGCCCTTCGGACTAAAAAATGTCGGGCAACCTTTCAACACCTTGTCAATAAAATTTGTGAGCCGTTAATCGGAAATAATATCGAATGTTATGTTGATGACATGGACATGATTTACAAAGTGTTTTTCAAATCTTGCGAAAATACAATATGAATTTAAATCCAAACAAATGTGTCTTCGGAGTCACCTCGGGTAAATTTTTATGCTACATAGTCAACCGACGTGGCATCGAGGCCAACCCAAAAGAAATAAAGGCCATTCTAGATATGCGACCACCCCACAAAATAAAAGAGGTTTAGAGGCTAACTAGCCAGATAGCCGCCTTGAACTGCTTCATGTCCAAGTCGGCAAATCGGTGCCTACCATTTTTTAAAGCTATAAAAAAGAGTAAGGACTTTGAATGGACCGCAGAATGTCAGSTCGCCTTCGACGAGCTGAAGAGATACCTAAGCACTACCCCAGTTCTGACCCGACCCGAGGAAGGGGATGTATTAAAGTTGTACCTCTTCGCGAGTGACGAGGTGGTAAGCTCGATACTAATCAAAGAAGTAGATCGGGTCCAATGACCCATCTACTATGTTAGCAAAGTTTTGTAGGATGCGGAGACCAGGTACCCCGAGATCGAAAAATTAGCGTACGCACTAATCATAGCAGCTCACAAGCTTCGCCCATACTTCCAAGCTCACACTATCGTCATCCTCACCAACAAGCCTCTGAGACAGATTCTRTTCAAGCCCGAGGTGTCCGGCAGATCGACAAAGTGGGCTATCGAACTGAGTGAGTACGACATCCGATATGAACCTCAGACGTCAATCAAAGCCCAAGCCTTGGCCGATTTTTGTGGCGGAATGCACATTCAGTACCGCAACTCCCGAGTTGATAGAGCTCGAACACACGATGGAAGCTTCAACTAGTGCAACGCCGGTCCTGGTCAGAGCAGGACCGATCTGGGATGAGGAGCCCTGGATTCTCTACGTTGACGGCTCGTCCAACCAGCAAGGAAGCAGTGCAGGAATGATTCTGTACGGCCTAAGCGAGGTGAAGCTGGAATACGCGCTCCGATTTGAGTTCGTGGCATCAAACAATGAAGCAGAGTATGAAGCTTTGGTCGCCGAGCTAACCCCAGCAAGGGAAATGAAGGCAAAGCACCTCATCATATGCAGTGATTCACTGCTCGTGGTCAACCAAGTCACCAGTGAGTATGAAGCCTGCGACCCCACTATGGCTACTTACTTGGCCAAAGTTAGAGAGATCCTGTGTGGCTTCATTTTCTACTTCATCAAACAAATTCCGAGGTGACCAATTACCTAAGCTCAAATGTTGCGAACTAGGATTGTCGGGCTAAGCTATCATCCTTTAGTCAGGTCGTGTCCACGTGTCCCCTTTTCGCTAGGTCGGGCCAAATCACCCTTCATCAGTAACTAAAACCCATTTTTGATTTTTCAATAGATTTAAATTTAAATACATCCCAAAACACTATCCATTTCATTGTTGCATCAATTGATACTCTAGCAACCGAAACACAACCTCAGAGCATTGAGGGTGGAACTGAATTTGCAGCCTTACTCTGTTACTCAAGGAATTGAAAACCATATTGTGCATCTTTATGCATCACTCTATGTTCTCTTTCTCTATGGACTAGAATTGGTACTTCTAATATTTATATTATAAATTTCAAGATTCCACAAAGTCATCATTTTGGAGCCAAACCATGGAATAAGAAAACTTATGGAATTAGGGGACACAAATACATTTCGATTCATGAACCCCCATGGCACAACATCTTGAAGCCAACCAAGTGGAATTCACCCTCTTTTAGGACTATTTGAAAGCCTCATACATTGTTACACCAATGGTAGGATTATCAGTACAGAAAGCCATAAGTTTTAAAACCAATATTCTTATAGAGGAGGACAACTCAATGAAAAACTTTCACAATGAAACAATTATGGTTCATACCCACCCAAGAAATGACTAAACCCTGTTCAAACATATCGTCAAGAAAATTGATTAGTAGAGTCCCATAGTGCAACATGGGTATAGTGGGCTGAGAGGGCTGAGACTTCAGGCCCAAGGTCCAGCCTAATCCAATTATAACCAAGGTTGAAAATATCGATATAGGGTATCAAGTTTTGCTTTTAGTTTTTTCAGATTTTTTTTTTCAAATTGGTTCAGAGGGGTCGGATTAAAGGCCCATCTACTCCTTGAACTAGGCCAGACCTCGAAGCACCCACTATAGGAGYGTATCGAGAGGTCACTAATACGATACATATAAGCCGATACAACCTGATATGTATCGATTTTTTGAACCTTGATTAAAACCTAATTTACACCATTTCTAGACCAAATGGTCTATAATATTTTCTTTTCACGGGATGTCATCTAAAAATTCCTTCACTTTAATAACACTCTCTTAAACTGATTTCCAAAAGAAATAAAATCCTAATAGCATGTGAAATGAACATGTTTCACACCATGTAGGATAAACCTCTGCCTCTCAATAGGAGCTGAGGTCAGTTGAAGTCATAGGATGTTGGCCATGAGCCGAGCCATTCACGAGCTATTCGAGCTCGGCTCATAAGGCTCGCGAGCCTAGTATTAAATAAATCATTTTTATTATACACACACACATATATATGTATGTATAATAGTAACTAATTTTTATAGTTATTTTTTTGTATATATAATATTATAATATTATATTTGTATAATTATTTTTATAATCATTTTTATTATATATTTTTATTTTTTATGTATAATAGTAAATAATTTTTATAATTCTTATTTTTTGTCTAAAAAATAAAAACATAATTTTATACATATAAAATTTATTTAAAAAAAAATTGGCTTATAGTCGAGTTCGAGTCGAGTCGAGCTTGAACTTGCGAGCTATGAATCGATCCGAGCTCGAGCTCAAGTCTCTAATTCGAATCAAGCTCGATCTCAAGCTCGAACTTGATACTATTTCTACGAGCCAAGCACAAATAACAAAATATTCGGCTCGACTCGGCTCAAAACCACCCCTAATAGAATGTATTACAATTCAAGTGGTGATGGTAATGATGGCCACACTTCAATTCACATCATATGAATAATGTTTTCACTTTTCACAAACTAGCATTTGCTAATAAAAAAGATTTACTCTGACTTTTCAGTACCTCGAGAACCTCTCTATCACACACTTTCATTTATAAAACCTTCTATTAAGTCAATGTTAGTAAATAGTAATCAAAACAGAAGTGGTCCATGTGCACTGCTGATATTTTTTAATGACAGAATTAACCCTGACCAACTAATCAACCCTATTGACCTCGTAACCCAAAGGCACAAACGGTTATACCTCCGGGTTCAGTTCTCTAAATACTGCAAAATATAAGTAGCAAAAACACACACACACCCCTCTCAAACTCGACCAATACTCATGGATATAAGATGGGCTTAAATTTTATTAGAAATAGGGTTATTATCTATAACTTCTCTTCACTCTTTCAACTTTCTCTTGATCTTACCTGATTTTTTTTCCTTGTTATTTGAATGGGCCCAGACTGAAAACCTGCCTTATTCAGTATAAATTCTTCAAATTGGATACCCAATTTACAGACCTAGCATTGGAAAAATGACAGTATTTGCAAAATTCCATTGATGTCTCTCTATTCAATTTAATCCTTTGAACCAAAATTCTAAAAATAGGTTCATCTCTTCACTTGGATTGAACTATTGGTGGCTTTCTGAGTCAGCATGAAATGGGAAAGCAAAATAAACTAAGGGTAATTTTTGCCATGTAAAAGTCAATTAATAGGGCTGATTGGTTGGTTGGAGTTAGTTTTGTCATTAAAAAATAATAGTGGTGTAGAGGGTCCACATGCTATAAAGTGGAGGGGAATTGAAAAGTCAGAGAGAATATTAAAAAATGAAGGGGAATTTCAGATATTATCCCATTTTAAATAAAACACAAAATATCGAGTGGGCCCATATGGGCTAGGCTGCATTGCCYAAACTTCTTAAAATAGACTGTGCCCAAAGCCTGAAAATCCAAGCCCAGGTTTTTTGCATCTCTTGGCCTTACACATAAAAACAAATTGGGTGGGTCTATTGAGGCCCATGCAAAGAAAACACTTCTTTCTAGTTAAAAGTAGCTTTTTTCTTAGCTAATTGTCATTAATATAGCGTAAGTAGTTGTTGGAAAAAGTTCAAACATATGTGGTTACCATATGGCCCTGTTTGGATAAAGTACTTTCATTTGAAAGTACAAAAGTATGAAAAGTACGATATAGTGTTTGTATTGTATATTTTGTATTTTTAAAAGTACAAAAACCCCCTAAAGCATGAAGCCGGTTTTTTATACTTTGTGCTTTTAACAAAATAGTACTTTTGTTTTCGTGCGAACAGGTTGTCACGTGTGACCACCTTTCGATTGACCCTACCTCCGTTTGCCGCTACTAGAGTTACACCACTGTCTACGGTCTCAGCCACCAAACCACCAGAAACCGTCACCAGAAGTACGGATGAACGTGCTTTTACCAAACAGGAAATGGTTCTTTGTTCCAGAAAATATACTTTACAAAATTTTCTACCCAAATGATTTTTAAAACAAAAACAGTAAAACATTTTTTTTATATTTTATACTTTGATACTATTAAAAGTAAAAAATATAGAATTCTAACCAAACAGTGCCTTTGAAGATGAATAGGCCCATTCTTTGTCAAGTCTTATGTGGGCCGATGGTATCGATCTATCCGGGTTGTCTTGTTTCTGGCAAATGAACAATGTCTTGGCTTGGGCGGGCCACTCTAAGTGGGCCTGGCCCTGGTGTTTGGCTCATTGACCCAAGTCTGAACGACGGATCCCCTCTCCGTTTGCCATCCACAGGACCAGCGGCCCCTGGCCAGGAACAGACTGGAGTAAAACTGACGTCTTCTTTTGGAAGGTGGACTTCTGGATCCTTTTCAAGGGCCAGACAGTGAAAAATTCTCCATATTCCAGGTCGTTCGCTCGTTCTGAGGTGCAAACCACAGATCAGCAAAGCATGGAAAGCCAGCAGCTATCATGGAGGTCGTTGAGGTTCTCATTCAGGAACGCGACCATACTCGTTTGCTTCTTCAATCTCGTTACTGTTCTTCTTTTGCTTCAAGGATTCCTGTCTGGTCTATCCAACAAAAGGGTTGGCCGAGATGAAGCCGATGCAGGTGCCACATCAATTCCTCCATTTCTTAGTTTCTGTTGGGCAATCAGCCAATCATGTGGGTTGTTCTGTTTTGCTTTGCCTTTGCTGTTCCCTGGTTTTTAACGTGCAAAGGAGCAGTGGGTTTTTCTTGAATGACGTAAATACAAGTCAAAGCCTGTTAGAATTTATGATTGTTGGATTAAATGGAAAACCCAATTTGGTTTAGCCTGAAAATTTCGGTTGCTATATATGCAAATATGGAATTGAAGGGAAGCTTCTATTGATGAGTCGGGATTCATTGAATTGGGCATTTGGTTTGGGAGGTGGACAGGGGGAATGAATTATAGGATCCGGTGGCTATGCTCGGTTGGTTTGATTTATTAGAATCTTGTAACTGACCTTATTGTTGAATGGAATGGGTATTGGCAAATTGGAGTGAGTCTCAGTGACTAAGTTTGGCGATGGTGAGTCTTACTTACCTGTTTGAGATTGATATATGGTCAGCTGTGAGCTCTCTGTTCCATTTATTTAGAAACAAATATGCGTTACTCCTGTGAATTCTTAAATTTTTCAAAGATGGTTATTGTCATTTGTTGGCAAGGGGATATTTATCTGTTGAGGATGATTCTGAACTTGGGGTTATTCGTTTTAGGGGACTTAATTGTCTTGTGTTTCATTCTTTTCACGAGGTTCTCAGCACACAGAAGCATTTTATATTGACTCAGTATATGACCTCTTGTAAGCATTAGATATTTTTGCTACTAGATGTTGACAATCGTTTGGAGTTGGTTCTAGGTATGGGATCTTATGATTGTGCAGCTGGTAGAGACATGTACTACTTTTCTTTTGGGTTCTTTTGTGTTATATCCTACAATGATTGTTTCCTGAACGAGCTGGATTTTCAGTCTGACAGCCAAGTGTCTGTTACGGTTGAGACATTATGGGCATGATTGTAGCAACTACTAGCAACCGATAGAGGTCCTTAATTCCATTTCTTATTCATAACATAATGATTGTTTACATACTCTTGAAAGTTTTGCTTTCAATTTCTTTTCCATGCATATGACATATTGATTAGTATGGGATATTAGTACGCCAATTTATTTCCTAACTCTAGTGGAACCTTTTATTCTATTAGTTCTATGTTGCAGCTTCAAGGTAGGTTTGATCCAGGACCTGTATTACCTGTTTCTTTTGTGGTTTAGTGATTTACAATCACAGCAATGGGCTTAGGAAAGGTTTTAGGGCTAAACGAAGAGTGCAACTGGGTTTGCAATTGTTCCTAGGATTGAACCCAACAACCTATAGAAGCCTTCTCAGGGATGGAAAACAAAGAAAATTCATGAACTAAGTACTTGGATGACATTTTTCATTGAAATATAGTAGGGTTTAGATTAGATATGTAAGAGGTGACAAAGAGTAGTAGTGTTTTGAGGTGGCCCTGCACAAAAGGTCAAAAGTTGCTAAGACTGGAAAATTATGGAAACTAGGATTAGAGGGGAACTTTAGGAAAATGTTTTACAAGGATGAAAAGGTACCTAAATTTGGGGATAGCTAGAGTTTTAAAAGGCATTCTCAGGTGCACAGGCAAGACACATTTCAAGGTATGCACCTTGCAGCCCTTGCTTGAACCCAAGCATAGCCCTTTTCAGAAGGTGTGCACCTCGTGTGCCTTGTGCCTCAGCCTGGGCATGTGCCTTTTTAAAGTTGTCTTTTTTTTTWAAAATTTTTTCTGGATTCATTATTGTCTTACGCTTTTGTAATTAGCTTTTATTGTTGATGAGGGCGGATTTGGCCCTCCAATGACATTGTGACACATGGCACCTCAGGACAATTAGGTGACACCCAAAATCACTAAGGCAACAAACTTTCCAAGCTGATGGTGTCCCACTTGGCGGCCTGGCCCAGGCGCGGCCTGGCGGCATGCGCACGGCCTGGCGGCCTGGCCCAGGCACCGATCTGGCACTAGTGCCAACCTGACAAACTCGACCACAACTCAGGTCGGCTAGATGTACCTCGTCCAGGGCTGACATGCAGCACCTCGTCACTGGCCGAAGCGACCTCAACGCAAGGAGCAACCTCCCTCGAGGGTGTGCCGGTTTGACTGAGGTCCAGGTGGCGACCTACGAGGCGTGCTCGCCGAAAAATTCGGCATGCATGCCCCATGATCCTTGGAGGTCGGCCCACGTTCCGGAAGGCGGTCAACGTGCATGGCGGTTACCTCCGAGGATCTCGGACCAGTTAGACACGACCTCCCGGAGATCTTGGAGGCGTTACATGAGCAAGGCCTATATAAAGGCACCAACCCCAAAGTGAGCAAGCAAGCAAGTAAGCAAGTTCTAGCTCTCAGACTTTGTGATTTTTAGCTCGCAGTCTACTATGAGAGTACTGACTTAAGCATCAGAGCGACCTCGCCAGGTTAGCCACCCCGGGTCCTCTGACATTTGGTTCCTTACAGGTCTCTAAAGAGCAACGAAGCTCATCAATTCAGCTCGCAACCTGGTCAGCCCGACACCTCATAGGCAGCCCTGCACCTGGTCAGCCCGGCGCCTCATAGGCAGCTTGGCACCTCATAGGAAGCTAGGTAGCCAAAGTTCTCCACTTCGGCCTGAATCATAGGCCACTTGGAAGCAGACCAAACGATGAGGTACTTAGCCCAAAAAGTTGGCCATCAACTAAAAATCGATTCATCAATTGTTATTCGTACAATTGTATTGGTCTTTTAAAACAAACAAAAACAAATACGTTTCAAATACTTAAAGTGTTAATTCTTGCAAATAGGATCTTAAATAGCAAGGTTTCCACTAAAGAAGCAAAAGTAATACAACTAATATATGATCTCTAATCCTAAAATGGAAATGACTTGCAACTAAAATTACAAAATTATTCTTTATATATATACATGACAAAAATTGTGGTTGGGGGGCTTAAACCCCGGCATGAACTAACTTGGTTAGGTTTGCTTCAAGTGGCTTTTATAGAGATGAAGGGCTGATCTCCTAGGATTGGGAATGCAAGATGTTTAACATCACACTAGTTACTTGAAATAATACAACTAGGAGATAAATAAATGGATCAGAAGTTTCACATATTTAATTGTTGAATACTTGAAGCACTATGTACAATCCACATATGTTTGTTTTCACTTCCACATTTTCTCTTAGAATATGTTTTGTATGTCATGTTTATAGTTTATATATTTCAGTTTGTGCTAATAGGCTTTTAAAACATTTAGTTTCTTTTAAAATTTAAGTTTTCACGTTTTTAGTGTGTATATATATATTTTATATTTTGTTATATTCTATTCTTATTATTATTTTTTCAAAATTAGCTTCAAGAAGGTGTGTGCCTTTAAAACTAAAAGGTCCTTACACTTTTCTTGTGCCTTGGTGCTTTTAAAACACAATCAAATGTTGTTTTGACTGGGGTTTGATTGGTCTGATTTAGAGAGAATTTCTGTCTAGAGAAAGTGGAGACTGAACTGATTCTTTGGTATAAAGGCTTACCTATAGCTGATATCAGTACTCTAAATATGATGTTTGAGTATGTTTCCCTTGGCCCTTGATGGTTAATCAACACTGAAATTTGAAAAAAAAAGCTCACATAGAAAGCTAGAGAGTGAAAAATATAAGAGAAAACCTAGGATCAGTCAACTGGTACCTCATAAAGTTGAAATAGGATAATTAAGGGGTGATAGATGGGTCCCATGGCTTTACTTCCACTATATGAGGGAAGCTAGATCCTTCACATTGGGCTGAATGTCTTGTTTAATTGGATCCCTAGTATTGCAAATTCCTTTGCTAATTATTGCTAGGGAGGGAGCTAATAGAATTGATATTTACTGGATCCTAACCTGGGAAGCAGTCCTATATAATCTGGGGTTCTCTTGGGTTTTCATGCTTGTACCTTGGGGCCACTTATCTGCAGTAAAATTCTTGTTTATCTGTTATCGAAAAAAAAGTCAACTTGCACATTACATATAATCATTCTAAATCTTCTGGGATTACTCACCATGTCAATGTACCCAAAACATTTAACAGCCACATCCTTGACAAAATACACACACAGAAATAAAATTAAGAAGAACAAGGTAAAACTACAGTTCTGCTTCTCCTCATCATATGACTTTGAAATTTTAAACTTGAATATGATTAGACAAAGAAAAATTCAAGGCTAGAGTGCTCAATCCACTTACAAGTTGGTCATATGAAGGAAATATCCTTACTATTAAAAAAATATAAAAATACATAAAGATTCAGAAAATCCCAGATTTGATCTGCTGGCTTCTGCATCAACCAATTACCTTGATAAGTGTGTTCTTGTAGTAATAAAGTCAATTTATTAGCATTGAGCTTTCTAATTTTCAGTAATATAATTAAATTGTCATTTTGAAATGCAGTGCAACTGAGATATATTAATGAATGTGATGAGTTGCGCCGTGCTATGGAGCCTTTGGAACTGATTAAAAGAGTAAGTATGATTCATTAGTATGGCATTCTCCAAGAAACCTGTGTGGTTTGCAATGTACTTGCTCTAGGGAAAGGAGATCAAGCAGGAAGCATATGCCAAAGATTTGTCCATCTTTGTCCAAGTTCAAGGCTTTGGTTTGGTGACATTACATTTCAGGTTAAATCCCATAAACATAATTTATTTATTACCTGTTTAGGTAAAGGAGATCAAGCAGGAAGTATATGCTGAGCCAGACATAGTGCAGCCAAAAGATAATAAGCAAACTGCTGCAGTAGATCTGTCAAAGAGGTTGATGGACTTCCGTGCCCTAAATGATGCTAATAGCGTGAAAGGTGATTTACCTAGGAATCTCTAAGGGGCCATTTGATAACACTTAAGTGGTTGAACTGAATGGTTACTATAACCTCAAATATTTTATTCAATAAAAGACGAACAAATAAGTCATTCAGTTCAGCTACTTTAGCTGTTAGTAAGTGGCTCCAAGTCTGTTACCCATTATTTGCTCTGAAGTTGCTTTGTATGCTATGTCTTCCTCATCATTCTGAGATTTATTTTTTACTTGAGAAAAAGAGGAAAATGAGAATAGAAGGATAAATTATTTAATTTCTTTTATCAGTGAGTTATTTATTACGTTTAATTCATTTAAGTTAGTGAATCATTTATTTGTTCAAAGTTCAATACATTTAGGGTTTTCAGTGCCTTCTGAAGCTATTTCATTTAATGGGTCGATTTGATGGATGTTGAGGATTTTGCAGCCACTAACCTGCAATGTACTTCTTTTAAAGCTGTATTCATTTAAATTATATTAGTTGATAATGACAAATTTTAATAAAAAACTGAGAAATTATTTATAAATTAATACCTAAACATTATTTAATTCTGAAAACATAAGTTGCTTAAAAATTTGAAAGAAATTATATAAATGCCTCTCACACATATATTTATAAATATCCAAGATGTTTCTATTCATGTGTGTAGAAGGCCAACCTAGTGCATCACTAATTGAGTGACTTGATGTAAGTTGAGGATTCTAAAAGAGCTTGAAGGAGGGCAAAAAAGGTGTAGGCTGAAGAGTAACAGAATACCACAATCTGATATATGATATGGCTCCTGATGAAGTAGAGCGGCAATGACATGGTTGGAAAACAGATTTTGACTTGGGCTAGTTGCTGAATGTAAATATTTTAACTTAACCTGGATGAGAATCATGGACACTTGGTTAGGCTTGAAAATGGCAATAATTTGAAAGATTCAACTTGATTTTGTGAGTTTTTTGACCTGACAAATTGTTTGAAACTCAAGTGGTTCAGTAAGGGGTAGTTTTATGGAATCCTTCATTGTCTAATTTTAACCCCCATACCTTAAAACTTCTCCCTTGTGTGTGCTTCTTTGGTAGAAATGTTAGAAGATAGGAAACTATCTTTTTAATCTCTCTCTCCTTCCACTATCTTCTCTTTCCATTTCTTTGGTAGAAATGCGAGAGGAGAAAAACAAGACTCTTTTGTTGACTTCCAACAGAAAACTTGTATCAATGTGTCTCTTAGGTTAGAATCCACTTTCATGGAGAAATATGTAACTTTTTTATTCTTTTATTTTCTAAAACCTGAACATTAGTTGACTTAACTAGATTATCCCCACTTGTAGGGTAAAATCCTTGTAGTACGAAAGTTAGGTGCATCAATGTAAATCCCCTTGTGGTAGAATCCTTGTTCATCTTCATCTTCATCTTCATGTAAATTTCCTGTCTATATTAATTCATTTAATAACTTCAACACAATTTCAATAAAAGGGCCATTACCCATTGTTGGTCCCAGCTGTCTGGGGTCTTGGGAGGGGTGGATTGGATATGGACCTAAACTTTGGCATTTTTTGTACAAAGAGTCCGCTTTTAGACTTGAACTTGCATTCTCACACTTGTCAGCACAATTTCTTACCATTGCACAAAGAAATGGCCCCCTTTAATGCATCTCAATATTTAATAAATAAAAAAATTATATTTATATACAATTACTTGTAAGCATGAAAACAGCATTTCTTGCTTTTCCTATAAGCTTTCTTATTTTTTTTCATAGTGTTTCCTATTATTGGTTAATATTTTTATATTTGTAAGATTGCTTTATATTTAATAAATAAAAAATCCTGACTCACACAGATTTGGATGTGACTCAAGTGAGTCAAGTTTTAGAGCTGGATGGTTCAAGTCAGATTTCTTGGTTTTCCACCTTGGGCAATAAGGCATTGTTGAATTGAATTGGGCATCTATTCTTCATATTTATATGCGAGCATTTTATCCTAAATACTTTTGCTGATAAAAAAATCCTAAATACTTTGGTCACAAGGTCTTTCCTTTTGTCATAAACATTAATCATAGAGTTTTTTCTTTCTTTTTTGGGTAACTGTTTACTCTTTTTTTGATCAACAAACGCCAAGCTTTATTTGATCATGTATAAAAAATAAAAAATGAACTAAATAAATAGAGCATGCACATTGGAAGAAAGAATTCACCTGCATCCAAAGAGAAACAAAAAAAATTCCCATATATGGGGAGATTAGTAAGTGGACAGTAGTTTCTCTACTTGCATAACAAAGAAAACATGTATGGGGAGAAAGGCACCAAAATGGTCTTTTCCGTAAGTTGCCACAAGTGTTAATTTTCTGATGAAAAGGTTGGGGTTGAGGGTCCAGATAGAAGCATCTAATTTTGAAACATCCAAAAACTCCCACCAAGGCCTTCAATAGATCAATAACAAGAGATGACTGAGAATCCTTAAGATCTCTTCTAAAGCCAAAGTCCTTAGCAATCCCATGAGATGATACTGATACGAATTTTGAGGCAAACTCTGATTTATAAGAAGACAGCAAAGAAAGAAGAGGAAATTGAACTTCACAGGCACTTCACTTACCCAAATATCATCCCAAAATTTATCCTTGCATCCATAACAGACATCATACCTGATAGAAGGCATAAATGAAAATGCAATGACATTGATTTTACACAAAATTTGGTGCTGATTGTGATCCTCCATTTTCCTTGTGCAGCACTTGGTTATCGGTACAATGTTCAACTTTCTTGCTCATGGAGCAGTTGAAATCGGCTTGTTTGATTGATAGTTCTTAGCATTTGGTGCTGGTTGTGTTTGTTTTATGCAAGTTACTAATATGTTTTGAGTTTCAGCTCTTGAGGAGTGGCGTAAACGGAAGATGGAACGAGCTAGGCAACGGGAACTTGGAAAAAATGGAACGGCCTTATCACAAGCACGAAATCCATTGGATATTTGAGGCTTCATCCAGTTTTAAAACTTGAAATCAGGATTTGATCTTGATTTATTATAATGTTTTGGATGATCATTCCTTCAAAACGGTTCAAAAGCTCTCAACCTTATTGTATCATACACCAACTTTCAATGTGTATTCTCAATTGTGATCCTTGATTCCATGAAAGATTTTGTTTATCTGGACAACTTTATATGTCTCAATGTATAGAAGATAGTATGAAAAATGCAGTTTATCAACCATGTTTCTGTTTTTTGCTGTCCAGCACCTGGCAGCCATTTCATCAGGCTGCTGACATGTTTCTAGTTCAGCCTGGCAAAATACCCATTTTTTCTTTGGGTGTGTGTCTCGGTGGGGGGGGGGGGGTCCTTAATTTAAACTTTAGATTTATTACCTGAAGAATTTAGACGTGATAAATTATTGGGGCCTGTATGATTTGCAAGAATAGGGATCTGGAATCAGAATTGGAACCGGTTGTCAGAATCCCATTCCCATTCTTGGTGGAATGGCATTCCCTCAAATACCCCATTTGAGGGAATGCCCATTTGCCCCCTTCTTTGCAATTGGGGTCCCATGATTCTAATTCCGGTTTCCTATCTGAACTGAACAGGTTATGGGAATAGACCATTCCAATTCTGATTTCGAAATTCTGATTTTGAGGGATTTCAATTCCTATTCTGACTACAAACCAAAGGGACCTTTAACTCTTCAGGTGAGTTTTAAAAACATCAACATGCCAGGAGAAGCATGCCCATGCTTTATTTCATTTCTTTTGGAATGCTCTAGGTTTGGCCATGCCGAACAACCTGCAGGTGGTCTTCCAAAAAGTAGAAGAAATTTAAGCTGTGTTTGATTTGAAATCAGAGAAAAGGTAGGGAAAGGAAGGGTACAGGTTTCCCTACCTTTTCCTTTTTTTTTTGTCAAACCAAACACAGCAGGAAACCAAACCAACATTTTCACTTTGGGACTCACTTCGTTTGAGGTACGGTATCCGTCCAATTAGATTTAGGGGGATTAAAGGGTCTCCAAAAACAAGAAATGGCTCCATGCGTCAAGTGGTCTAGACTACTGCAAAGCTGAAATGCTCTGCAATCCGAGAGTTAAGAGATGAATCTTGGTTCCAGAATTTTCAAACTTGAATTATTGATGTTCATTTTGAAGTCTAAAATCCCCATTTTAAGAATGGTTTTGGCATCTCGTCTTTTGAATGGTGAAGGTTTTCCCAATGTCTTGGGCGAAAAGGCCTTTTCCCCTAGTCATCTATCTACTCATCATCACAAACTACCCGATGGCTCAACTTTAGGTTTAGGGGCATGGTTCAAACTCAAAGCATCAATATTGTTTACATTTCGTTTTTTGTGGTTGCCGATACATTTATACCCTTGGGTACTGTTAGGGGTGCTCATAGTTCAGTTAACCGAGCCGTGGGGCATTTTTTGCAATCGAATTGGTAGTACCGATTTTTGGAAAACCGGTAACCGAAATCAAACCAAAACCTATCGCTAACTGTTGGTTCGGTTCATCGTTTTTCAGTTTTTTAATTTTTACATTATATATTATAAAAATATATATAAATATATAATAAAAATTATAAAAATATATAAATATACATAAATAATATATATATATATATATATATATATCGGGCAGTCCAGCTAACCACCGGTTTTCTATATTGGTTAACCGAAACTGAACCGGTACCTTTGATTTTTTAAAAACATCGAACTAAAACCAAATCGACCGGTTCAATTAACCAATTTTTCAGTTTGGTTTCGATCGATTTTTTTGGTCGATTCGGTTTTTCCATGTTTTTTTGCTCAGCCCTAGGTACTGTGGGGGTAGTGACACTTAAGGGTATGAACTTTCAAGTGCTACATTTTTGTACTCTAAACTTTTAGAAATACATGAGTCCAACTCTGTTAAAACTAACATTACAGTGAGGGTAAAATTATAAAAATGCTCATTCAAATGATTTTATTCCTTATTGAATAGAAGTATAGAGATTATATTGAAAAAAAAAGAGTAAAATAAAAGTTCAGTGAGCAAAAGAGAATCTAAGCATGATAATTTTGCCCTCATTGTAAAGTTAGTTTTAACAGAATTGGGCTTAAGTGTGTATTTCTAATGTTCAGGGTATTAAAATGTCCCACTAAAAAGTTGATCTCAAGTATCACTACCCTGCAAATACAAAGGTGCCTATTTATAATTTACATTTTTTTAATCTTTTAAGTGCAATTCAAGCTGAAGAGGCTATAAGAGCTGGAGGTAGATTGAGAAAGATTTAAATAAAAATAATAAGAAATGATTTAAGCACCCATAATATAATAATAGATATAACACTAAAGACAATCGAATGACAAAACAGGGTTCATGGACAAAGGCTTAGGTGATGATTATAATCCATCAGTGCAATTCAATTGATGAAAAAGAGTTCGAGCTCAGCGAAGTAAAAAAAGTGACAATGAAACTTAGAAAAGTTTGACCTGTTTTGACATTTGAGCATGAGTTTAATAATGGGGCTGGAATCTGGATGGTTTTTGTTGTTTAAAAGGGGCCTTTGGGGCATGGAAGTACAATGAGAGCAAAATCTTTTCTCAATCAGGTTCAGGTAAAAAATGGTTAAAAGTAGTAGGGTAAGGCGTAAGGAGGTGAATTATGAACATAGGTCAGATGAATGAATTTGGTAGGGTTTGTAAGGGTGGAAATGGATGGATTAATCTGCTAGGTGGGCCAACCAGGGTTCCACGTTTCTGGCTGAGTTCATTACTTATCAGTAAAAGAGAGAAAAAGATCCGGAACTCGGGGCCTACATCCTTGGGCTCAAGGTTGCACTCTTTATTTCATGCAACTGCCTACTAGTGTTATTGAAAGTTCCTCGTCCCATCTCTCGGAAACCTATGTTTCAATAAAGCCCACCTAAATGTTGGACTGGACCCAGTCAGCAGTACAACGGTTCAATCAGCTGCCTTATTTGGGAGGGCTTTCACACAGCGGCTGGCTTCAGTGCTTACAAGACCGCGTTTACACTGTTTACACATTACTTGCAACTTTGCACTGGAATATCTCTCCATAAAAAAAGTATACAAACACCAAAATATTCTCAATGCAAGAATGCAAAGAACAAGTTGGAATCTTCTGCCAACAAAACATGTACTAAACCTCTACCAACTTGATCTAACACTGCACATCTCACCACGAGACTGTGACTTACCATAAAAATAAAGCCATATTGGTAGAGTTAAAATGTGTTTTGTTGTCAGGTGATCAGAACTCACAAGGAACTGTACAAACTTGAGCATTGAAGCCGATACCACAGAAGCCCTCCCAAATGAGCTCTTGGTCTTGGGAGTGGCTTCTGATTGTCTATTTAGACTGAAAACCATCCAGACAACTGATTCCATTTTACCACAAACCCAATCCTCAGCCAAAAAACGTTGAATTGATCAACAACCCATTAACACATTCAATGGTTTTTTACTATTTTATTTTTTAATTTTAAAACTCTTTGTCAGAATGGTTCCAATTCCGATTCGGTTTTTAAAACATTGGTATCTATAGTGAAATTGTGAAAAATCCAAGAGAGGAGAGCCAAATCAGCTTCGCCTGTCGGTCAGCCAGTTGAAAAGAAGAGGGCCGTCGGCTTCAGTTCACAGCTTATCCGGAGCGCCTTGCCAAGATTATCTGGCTTCTTTTTCTCGACATTTTAGGCAGCTAAACCAATTGCCAAATGTCAATAAATCAAGGCTGTGCTTGGAATTTTCTTTTATTTTTTATTTTTATTTTTTCTGATCAAGGGAGGGAATGAAATGAAATGGAATGGAGAATTCAAACTATAGAATCTACGGGTAGTGGATAGGCAGGTCCTTTCGGCCCCGCTTCAGTTCACAAATCCCCTTATTACCAAACCAGAGTTTAGTAAAAATTTTCCCGATTCAATAACAGAAAGAAAATCTACCACAATAACAAATCTATGCTGTTGACACCATGTCTGGAGCCACCTATCCATCTATCCTCTCTTACTATATAAAGTGGATATGCCACTTCTGCGATAGGCTTCAAACTCTGTAGAAAAACTGCATGGCTGAAGTCCACCTCTTCATCTTCTGTCATGAAGGCTGAAGCCCACCTCTTCATCTTCTATCATGAAGGCTGAAGCCCACCTCTTCATCTTCTGTCTTCCCGCTTAAGAAGAATTTCCAACCTATCCAATCCCTGTAAAACATGTTGCCACAAGGAAAAAAGAGATCAGGAGGTGGGGAGTAAATAAAACCTGTTTTTCTGTCGTTGATGTATCTTGCTAAAATATTAGCAACCACATAGAAGGGTCTCACATAAATTAAATAAATTGTTTCTATTGCTACTGCCTTTTATTATGCTTGGTATGCCAGGAATGAAAAATGATTTAGAAATAAGGTGATTCAACCTATTAATCTCCTTCATCAAATTAATCACTCAGTCATGCCTCCTAATTCTACTCTAGATAATTCTGCTTCCTCCTAATACAATGGACCTCATTGTTTTCTCTGATGCAGGGAAACTCTCAGACAATTTATATAGTTATGGTTGCATTGTTCTGTCCAGAAATCTTTCATGATTAAAAATTATAGGTGGTAGAATTGATCAATCCTCAGTTGTGCAAGCTGAGCTTTATGCTATCATGCAGGTGCTACTAAAACTTTCGAGCTGGACTTGTCAAGAAATTTGTATATACACTGATGCTGAACAGGTTGTACAGGCTCTTCATCAGAAAGCAGATCTTCCCTGGTCCTGCCTTTGGCTTTTGTCTGGGACTAGGTCTTTACTTTATCTGTAAAACTTAGAAATGTGAACTGCTTTTTTGTCTCAAAAGTTTAATAGACCTGCCCATATGATATCCCAGCTAGTTAAAACTCACTGTTTATCCTCTCTTGCTTGTAATAATTATCAAGACGGGATATCAAGGGTAGAAGACTATGTTTATGTTTGTTCTTCTTAATATAATTTGCACCTTTCAAAAAAAAAAATTAAATAAATTGTTTCTATCCAATCTCCAGTCCTCATATAATCAATCTCTTGCATGGAAATTCCAGAACTTCTCTACAAAACTTCGAACTCTGAACTGAACATCTGGCTCTGCCTAGAAAAATCATATGGAAGAAACTATAATTTTCCAGGGGAGCCCTGGATGTATCGACTTAATTGCAAAATCACAGACTATTCAAAATCCACCTTTCATATTCAAGTCATAGCATAAGATAGAAATCTTTCCCTCTTATGGAGTTAAATTGCATGGTCTGATACATTATGATCATTACATTCTCAACCTATTGAAACTTTTTTTTTTCCTGGGTAATCCTCAACTTATTGGAAATTGGAAGGACGGCTTTCTTTGCATCTAATTCACAAAGAAAGGATAGATAATAAATGATATTAAAAAATAATGAACAAATCCGAGAACCTAGAGAATATCACCTGCTGATGTTTTCTGAAGATTACACTTATTGGAAATTGGAAGGACGGCTTTCTTTGCATCTAATTCACAAAGAAAGGATAGATAATAAATGATATTAAAAAATAATGAACAAATCCGAGAACCTAGAGAATATCACCTGCTGATGTTTTCTGAAGATTACAATTCAATACTCAATCTATCTCAAGTAAATATTTAAAAAGCAAGGGAATTTAACAAAACAATTTAATTATTAACACTGAAGCAACTCTATGTGTTACTGGTCAACAGAAGAACCATGCTTCAAGACAAAGAAGAATGAGATTTTCCTTTTCTTTTTCTTTCTTTTTTTTGGAAGGGGGTGGGGGTACTGTCTGCAAGATAGAAGTAACATGTTAAGGAGAAAAAAGAACAGAGGAGAGTACAACCATATGATCAATACAAGAAAACATACAAACTTCAAAATGTACACAGGTCTTTGTTGGAGTAAAATTGGAACATACTAGTATTTAAATCCATGGTTTGATACTAAACAGTACATAGTATTTAAGGTTTTTTGCCATGAGGATCCCCTAATACCACACATACTGACTTCAACCGAAGCCGCCTAAAGAATAACACCCGTATAATGCAGATCGCCGCTTTAACTATACAAGGCACAAGTAAGCTTGCTGCTTGGTTTATCAGGCTACTCTGGTTTTACTAAAGTACAACTTTAGTAACAAGCTCCGGATTTAGCTTGTGAATACTAACATCTTACCAGTAACTCTTGAACTCTTTGAAACAATAAAAAAATCTTGTTTTCTTTGAATGGATCAGATAACATAATTATAGCTCTTGGCATTACATTGTGAAAAATACAAAGAATTATTAAACAAATTTCATAACGCAAAATAACATGATCCTAACCTTTTAACAAAATATATATATATTAGAAGCTGAGAATACCTTCCCTATGTTTATATTTTAAACAAGGTTGTACTCAAGGGTGCAACAAAGTTGAAGGCAAGTGCTCCGGATTATTTCATCACTAGGTCCTCATCAGAGATCAATATCTGCCCTCCTTCCTTTACTGACTGCAGGCAGGCTTGTGCTAAGTACTGCAAGTACTAGGTATGATCGGCACTTGTATGATGCAGATAAAATTTCTTGCCCACCACTCATGATTGACCCCTCCGCTCACTCTTCCAAGAATTTTTACCAGTTTCTGCAGATTGATCATTTTGCTCATCCTTTGGCTTAGAGAAGAAAGGGTCCCATTCATGAGGCCCCACTTCACGTTGTCCTTCCTCCAGTAAGGCATATTTCCAGCTGTTCTCTTCTATAAAGTTATCATCAGTGCGACCATCAACAATGTCCTTTCTCAACTTGGTAACTTTGTTGATAACAGCTTGCACAGCTACATCAAAAGCATCCTTAAGAGTCTCCAATCTTGACCTAGGATCCGCATATATCAGCCTTGGTATGAGGCTTATAACTTCCTCTCTCATGATCTTCACCTGCTCTGGAGAAATTTGCCTTAGCCTTTTCTCAATACTAACATTTCTCTTGCGAATATCATCCTCTGGAATGAACACTGAGTACTTTGAATAATTCTTTGGAAGATGCCATGTATACTGTGTGTACGCTGAACCAGGATGGAAAAACACAGGTATACAACCTGCCAGCATCGAGTCAAAAGCTGATCTTCGCGTGTAAGAATCACCCTGAGGTTGCAGGCAAAACAGAGAGCTCTGGAACATCTGCATTATGCTGCTTGGAGAATGGCACTTACTCTCACCAAAATCGCATTCCAATAGCTTACAGACCTTGGACTTCTTGCACTGCTCAATGATCTGCCCTCTAATTGACTTGGGGTTGTCAGGACGTGGGGCCCCAGCAAAAGAGAAGAGCCATGGACGGTTCAGTTTCCTCATACGATCTTGCCAAATGAAAACATCAGCATCCTTTGCTGGATGGAAGTAAGTAGGATATGGGATACCGAAATCATTAGCGTTCCATGGGCTCGACTCAACCACCAGCATGGACATATTCTTTGCAGCTGGAAGAAACAAAAGCTTGTTACCCCAATCTGATTCTTGATCAGTTAGCCTCCTAAAATCCCATGTTATCCTGCCTGCGACCAGAAAATGGTCCTTTCCCCCCATAACCTTCCACTCAGGCCTCTTAACAAGCCAGTCTAGCAAATCAAGAGAAGCAGCATCCCTAACAGATGTGTTATAGCCCCAAAGATAACGGGCTATATCGAACCCAGCATAGAACGGAACAAAAATGGCGGAAGCAATAGAAGAATCATTTGTCAAGCACTCGTACTGTTTCATTCGGTTGCTGAAGATCACATCAACGGCAAATTGGTTTGTAGCGTACCATCCAGTATTCGAGAAGACCCCATCGACATTCTCCAGTGGGGGGCCAAGCCCCGCATTAGTGGTGAACTTACACATGTTCGTCCAGAGGCTGAGAGACTTGCACTCCTTGAGCATATCTTCATTGAACCGAGGAGGGAGGTCATGGACATATATGTACCTTCCTCCACACGGATCGCTCTTGTTCTCTATGGTTCTCAAAGCTCGCATGAATGGATAATTCTCAAGCACACGATGCGCCTTTGCAGACTCGGTGCGGAGAGGAATTTGATGCAGCTTTTCAGATTCAACAATGGTACCACTTCCCAGAACAACAAAATGGAAGTAGAACAACAAGACCCAGAACAACGCTGACAAAAATAATAAGAAACAGAGACGAGTGTGGTGATTCTTCCCGAACGCTTTCTCCATATGCTCGGGAGGATTGCTAGCTGTCTGACGGCGTCTCATCAGACTTTGAGCAAACAGATAGCGGTCGCAGACAAACCGAAAGATAACTTGATAGTTTGGGATGAAAATCTAAATTCTACCATTTGTAGAATCCGAACTCACGACATCAATGCACTGCAGAACCTCCGAAACCAGATGAAGGGTAATTTGATGATTAGAGGATGAACTCCCACTCTAAATCTAATGTCATTCCTAACCCTTCATCCAAAGCAACAGACTCAGCAGATCAAACCGGACTAAACCGAAACCTTAAAAAACAGATCAAATCTCAGATCAAGCCGGAAAAGTTGAAGCTAAGAAAACTCGCAACTGAAATGAAAACCCGGAATTGAAGGAACCAAACAGCTCAAATTACGAAGAAATTCCCCCGAAAAATCTCTTTACTTATTCTAAACTAACAGTTCCAGAGATATTACGATCAGATCTGCTAAGCAGTATGAACGAAACCGAAGAAAACCAGAGTGAGAGAGACCAAAAAGGGGGAGAAAAGGGACTTACAGAGAATGGATTGCAGTGAAAAGACTCGGTTCAATGGATCAGAATTTCTTTTTAGTCTTCTGGTCTGTTGCTGTTGATGAAAGGCAGCCAATAATGAAGGCAGCTTATAAACGGAGCAGCAGAAGCTGGCGTACAATAGCATATCGTGCGCATCGCGCCTTCTGTCGGTAACCAAGATGCATTATGCCACGTAGGAGTTTGGAGTCTCAGAGTCTCGAGTCTCGACGCGGCGATGATGACAGGTATAGAAAAAGCCCCGCTGTATTGTGTACACGTGTTGATCGCTCAGAGGCTGAGATTTCTCACTTGGTGGGGCCAATGTAGTTGGTCCGGAATTTCAGCTGACTGGAGAGGAAGCGTGGCTGTTCAACCAAACAAAGTTCTTTACTGAATGCTTACCGACGGTTACTCTAAATCATTAACAATTGCCACGTGTCATATTAGATAGTAATATGGCATATGTGATTACGAATTGGGATCTGCTACTCACATCGACCTCGCAGCTACATCTCACTTCACTGTATATTGAGAACATCTCTTATAAAAAATAACATATAATATGAAAATGTTTCAGATGTGCGGCTGAGATGTTAGATTTTGGTAGATCCACACTGATTGGCTTTAGTCGGTGCAAAGCCCGCTCGAACACCGTTAAAACAGCCTTCATTGGATATATATCCTGTACCTGTGTACCATATTTTATGGGAGGATTATTCGCAATGTAAGGCCATAAAGGTTGTTCGAACGAGCCTTGTACTGATTGAAGCCGAGTTCGATTAAATTATGTATGACTCGTGTATGCTCTCTTGACGGTGGCCCGGGGAAAGGTTCCTCCACTTTTACACTGTGTTTGTTTTGATAGAAAATATAACAGGTTCAAAGTATGATACAGGCCGATATGCTGGCTGGGAGTTCGGATCTCTTGCCTACGTTGATAGCAGTCACACATGTAGAATATTTTATTCCTTGTATAATATTATATAGGGAGAGATATTTTCAATTAACGGGGGTAGTGTATTGAGGGTGAGCATGGGCAGGAGATCCGGAGTCGTTGGATGGAGCGTATCAACCTGTATCTTTATCTGCTTTTTATTTTTTTTTTTCCAAACCTGTTTAGGGTCAGTTTAAGGCTTGTCTACCCGAAACAGGTCTGATTAGAAAACACTTATTATAAGGGCATATCAGAGGATCACTGATATGATACATATTGGTTGATACTTCTCGATATGTAATAATGTTTTAATATTTGAATAAGAGATAATGTAGTTGGCAAAAAGTTTTAGAATTTAACAAACATTATATTTTTGCTGATGTGATATTTGTTTTTGTTCCCTTAATTCTCTAAATAGTGCTAACAAAACTAATCTTGCTATCACTAGGGTAGGGTTGGAAGGGTTATGGGCCCGGTTAAAAGGGGGGGAGGGTCAGTTTAAGGCCTGTCTACCCTTGAAACACTATATAGGAGCATATCGAAGGGTTACCGATATACAACATTTTAAAAAACGGCTTGGAAATGAAATCGTTGTAGGCATTGGTTTTTGGGTCAACAGTTCGACTGTCTAATTCGAATGGATAGTCCATTTTGACATCAAAATTAAAAAATTAAAAAAATAAAAATAAAAAAATGGTCAAAACCCGTTGAACGGATTGATGATTTGACTGCTCAAATCAATGGTTTATTGACTTTTTCAACAGTTTTTGACCAGATTCCAGGTTTAGGATAAAACGAAACCGATTGTCTGAACGATTCCTAAGCCAAACGGTCCGACCGTCCGAATCAACGGCGGTTCGAAAACGTTGCCGATATATGATAAAAGTTTAATCCTTCTTATGGGCATTGGAACATCATACATCTATGATACAATACCTTCTTGTATTTTGATAGTTTTCTCCACTGTTATTTTTAATTGTACAAATAAGAAAAAAAAATTGATGAGGCACAAAAATCCACAAAACCTTTTTTTTTGTAATAAATGGAGCAAATTCCAAGCCAATGAAGTTGTATCTTAATTTTGATTGCTTTTGAAAAAGGAAAAAAAATCGAATTAGATTTGATACTTGACAAATTCATAGAAAGTCCAACCGAATTTGAATTCAACTAAATATTGGAATAGGCAAATTCAACTAATAAATTCAAACATCCAAACAGTTCTAATTGATTTCTTTTCTTTTTTGCCATTATACCCTTTATAAAACAAAGAAATAACCTGTAATATAATTTTATTAAAGAGAAATAAAGGTATTTAGGTCATTCATATGTGTATACTAATGCCATAACCGATGTGTATATTTACTGAATCAAATCAGGTCAAATTCGATTCATAAACTAAACGGCATATTAAATTTATCTGATTACTTTATTCGAATTCTCTGAATTCAATTCAATTCGATTATGCTGAATCCTAAATACAAAAAAATCAGAGATTCTCTATTATTGAATGCCTCAGCTTGTTTAAAAAGAATAAAAATTTCAATCAATTTTAAAATAGAAAAATCTATGATACCAGAAAGACATGATTCAAAAGAACTTTAACGAATTAAAGCCCTATAAATTTTGATAAATATTTGATTCATTATAAGTTTTTCCGACATCATAATCAAACACTTTAGAAAATATAAGGGTTCCACTCTTCCAAAGTATGCCCCCCACAGGTGTGATAAGCACAATTCCAGCCATGGTTTATGGCTAGATTCTTGACTTGGTATTAGAGACATGTCCACTTCACTTGACTTTTCTTGGATCGGTTGTCGTTCTCTAATCTTTTCGAATCATTCTATGGAAACTCCTCCCTCTTTGACCTAGTTGAGTTCAATTGCGTGCAACAACTATATAAATATAACCAAGGTTTAGAGTATGATGCACGAGATCAAATCAGCCCCCCATAGTACATCCCTGCCGTGTATTAGGAACATCTCTTGATGATAATACTAAATGATGTCATCATTGAGAGATGTTCCCAATACATGACGGGAATGTGCTGTGGGACGTCGTGGGGGACTGATTTGAACTCATGATGTGCATGAAGAGCAACACCTTCTTTATATATTTTATTTTTTGGACTGATGTTTCAAGAATAAGAATGTTAGTAGACCTGTTTACTGGCCGGGCTGGGCCGGGCTTTGTCTCTTTATCAGCAGAAAATGTTCAGGCCCAAGCCCAAGTCTGGACTGACCTTTGGGCCTAGATCTTAAGCCCGAGTTCGGCCCTTATATAAGGCCTAAAGCCTGAGTCTGAGCCTGAAGCCTGATCTGCACATAAAATGTCTTGTTTTTGGTGTAATTTAATAAACTAATATTATATTAATTTGATAATAATTTAATAAATTAATTCACATTTCCTTAATAGTAAATTAATATTTGACAATTTTATAAATAAATACATATTATATATAAATAATATATATTTTCTATTATATATAATAGTAACGAACCGGACTCGGGCTTATTGAAAAAGCTCAAGCCCATGTGCCTGAAATTTTTTCACACCCAAAAAATATTGGGTTGAACCAGACTGGCCCGTTAGACTACCCGACCCATGAACAAGTCTAAATGTTAAAAGGGTTTCTCATATTTAAACCATGGTTCAAAATATTATGAAATATACACATAAAGAGGTTGTATTTAAATGTATCGATGAACCAAAAATGTATTGGTCGAATATTTCGATATTCTGAACCTTGATTTAAACATAAAAGGCACCCTTAAACTGATATATATGATATATGATATGCACTGATACATTGTAATGTTTTGAACTTTATACAGAAAACCTACACAGTACACTCAAAATTTAGAGAGAGAGAGAGAGTCCTCTACTTTGCTTGGCATCACTATCAACCCCATATGGAAGTGTAGGCACTCCATAGCCGACCTTCACATAGTCACATGCACCCATTGTCTCCTCCCCCCAAACCCCTCATTTTATAATTTCAAGGAGATTTACAGTTAAATTCCACTCTGCATTGGCAGAGTTATACGTGTCATTTTCTGATTGGCTAAAGGAGGTTCTTTTCCTAGAAGCTAGGAACCTAATTTACACATTACAGTCCAAGAACCCAGAAGTAATAGTAAATTACTAAATTATAAGAGTTAGGGTAGATCTAAATTAGTGTGGGGAATTGTGACCATTGATCTCTTAAAGACTTAGACTATTAATTAATATCTCTTAATCCTGTGTTGACATCTCATTGAAAGTACTAGGGTAGAATTAACACATGCAACGCCCATGTGACTTTGTATGGTCTCTAGCCCACATTTCATTCTCATGTCTTTTTCTATGCATTAACACCATTGTACAACTCTTCCTCTTCACGAGTAGTGCTGGCAATGGATTTATTTCATAATAAATATACTCATTTGTTAAATTACACTTTTGGACATCATAAATATGATTATATCATAAGAAAAATAGGTATTACATTGAGATATCTTTATAATATGTCACTATACGTATACATAATAATAATAATTATATATGGTTGGTTCTGGTCTTAATTGGTTCAGAACAATCCAAACTCGACTACAATAGGGCAGTTTGGTTTGGGTAAGTTGAACCTGCCCCACTATTGACCTGTTACATGAGTTCACCCCTTAGGCTCAGTTTGAAAAGAGTACAAATGCAAATATGTACAATGTAGATACATACAAAATAATATAAAATATAAAGTTTTACACTCTATATATTTGCATTTGTACTTCCTCCAAATTCAGTCTTAGGTTCATTTTTTTTTTCTATTAGAATACCCTGTAGTTTCGTGGATTTTCTTAACCTTAATATTTTAAAAAGTGACCTGGAACTAAAACCTTTGTGGCCACTGGTTTTTGGATCGACGTTTCGATTGTCTAGTTCAAATGGGTGGCCCATTTTGACAAAAAATAAAAAAATTAAAAATAAAAAAGGCAAAAAACCATCGAACGGGTTGAGCGGGTCAATAAGTTGGTTATTGACTGGTTCAACGGTTTTTTGACTGGGGACCAGGTTTAGGGTGAAATGGAATCAGTTGCTTAGATGGTTCCTGGGCCAAACGGTCTGACCGGCTGGGTCAACGACGATTAAAAAACCATGCTTAACCCTATCCTATAGTTTA